GAGGGGGCAGAAAGTGGCGGCGTTTGAGTGGAAGGCGGATTTCAATCAGTACAATGCCAGACTGTTAAGGCGGCAAAACGAATAAACTTCTAAAGACTTAAGTGAACTTTTATAAAAACATAAACAGTGTCTTATCGCGCTGAAAAGATGGCGGCGAAAGCGAACTTTCATCAAGGAACTGCCAGTTCAACATGTCCGGTTTCCAAACTGGAAGTGAACCTTGACTTTGCAGGCATGCTGGATACTGCATTGCGACCTCTGGTGGCACAGATGTCTAACATCAGCAAGATCTTGGAGTCTTTACAAAAACAGCTAAAAGAATCCAATAAAAGGACAGAGGAAGTTGAAAGCAAGACTAAAGCAATTGACCAAAGATTGGAAGTTGTGGGAAAAGAAAGATCTTCAGATAAAACTCAACTTTTGCAGCTACAGATGGAAAATTCTTCATATGTGCTGAGATTTCAAGGTGTGCCAGAAGACAAATCTGAGAATCTGAAAAAAATCCTTAGTGAAGCGCTTGCACCAGTGGCAGGCATCAAGGCGGAAGTACTACAAAGTGAAATGGATATGATCTATCGGACATATTCAGAATTTATTAAGAAAAAAAACGTGCCTGGTGAAATATATGTCAGATTCTCTACGAGATCTATAAGAGATGCAATATTGAAAGCAACATCTGGGACTACACTGAAAATTAAAGAAGAGGACATCAGAATATTGAAAGACATTCCATTTGAGATAAGAAAGAAGAGAAAACAATACAAGAATTTAAAAACTTATTTACGGGGAAATTCCACTACCTACCGATGGATACTACCTGAAGTTTTGATGTTCAACTACAATGGCAAAAAAGAAAAGATTGACTCTTTTACCAAAGTGAAGCAGTTTTTGGAGAGACATTAAGAACCCAAAAAAGATACAAAGAACACAGGAAGAAGAAGAAGGAGAACTGGACAATCAGCATGGTTTGGAAAGCTACAAAACATCCGTAGATGGCAGTTCAGAAGTAGAATCTGAATCAGAATTGGGAGTTGCAGTACCCAAACCACCTCGCAACTATAAAGGCAAGAAGAGAGGAAAGAAAGGCAGAAAATAGCTTAAACTTTAGAAGAAATGTTTATATTACATTACAAACAGTAGAATGGAATTTTTATTCTTAACTTGAATAAGAGAAAAGCTTTGACTTAAGATAATAATTACTATCATATATAGTCGTTGTATAGCTGTAATTTTACTTAGTGTGTAGTTTTTGTAGGAGATGTAGAATATTGGCAAGCAAATATTTCACACTGGCTTCCTTTCAGGTTATGAAATCTCATTTTCCAATTTATGTCTCCAGTTTAATTCAACTGTGTCCAGGAATTACAGGTGCCTAAAAGATAGCATAACGTGAGCATCTTTCAAGGTTAATTTCTACCTTCCAGTTATTTGAATCCTTCCTTCCCCTGCCCCCCCCCTGTAGTTTAAGACAAGCATGTATCCTTCCACAAATAGGTACAGTGTTATACATTGAAAAGCTGGAAAAAGAGAATTGCAGCTATAATCTCACAATTACTCAACAATTACATAAGAACATAAGAGACGCCAATGTTGGATCAGGCCAAAGGCCCATCCAGTCCAACACTCTGTGTCACACAGTGGCCAGAAATACCAGGTGCCATCAGGAAGTCCACCAGTGGGGCCAGGACATTAGAAGCCCTCCCACTGTTGACCCCCCCCCAAGCACCAAGAAGACAGAGCATCACTTGCCCCAGAGCCCCTATCTATACCTTGTGGCTAATAGCCACTGATGGACCTCTGCTCCATATGCTTATCTAATTCCCTTTTGAAGCCGTCCATGCTTGCAGCCACGGCCACCGCCACCTCCTGTGGCAGTGAATTCCATGTGTTAATCACTCTTTGGGTGAAGAAAGAAGACAGAGCATCACTTGCCCCAGAGCCCCTATCTATACCTTGTGGCTAATAGCCACTGATGGACCTCTGCTCCATATGCCTATCTAATTCCCTTTTGAAGCCGTCCATGCTTGTAGCCGCCACCACCTCCTGTGGCAGTGAATTCCATGTGTTAATCACTCTTTGAGTGAAGAAGTACTTCCTTTTATCTGTTCTAACCCGACCGCTCAGCAATTTCATGGAGTGCTTAGTGAAGCAACCACTAAAAAGCATAGATTAGACTTCCCTACAGTGCAGTCCTAAACAGAGTTATGCCCTTTGTAAGCCACTTAAATCAATGGGCTTCAAAGGGTGTAACTCTGTTTAGGATGGCAGTGCAAAACACCCAAAGAGATAATCCTGCATTGTAAATTCTTCACCATAAGAAAGTTGAATGCAACAGGCTGTCCCTGGAAACCTGACAGTGCAGGTGCTAGAAATTACCAATCATGTTTAGCACTTGCTTGTGCTATATTGCTGGCAGTAAAAACTTAATACACGAAGATATGTTTATACTGTTTATACTGTAGCCATTGATCTACCAAGGTCGGCATCTACTAGTTCACCAGGGTCTCATGTGTTTAACTAGATCTAGTGATGCTCTGCCAATAAGAAGTTCTACCCTCCCCATTAATTCTATTTTATTTTGTGCATAAGCTATCTTGTGCCTTCTGCTATCTGTAAGCCTCCTTTAAACACGTTCCTAAACAGTACGACTCTACAGTGCTTCCTGAAGCTTGTTGAGGGAGGAGCCCTCTTTACATAGCCACTAAGGCTGTTCCAAAGAGATGCCGCTACTACCGAAAATGCTTTTGACTCGACTGGGGCAGGACTAATTACTTTGGGTGCAGAAATATCCAGGAGGAACTGCTGGGAGAATGCCAGATCTTCTCAGGTTCGCTTAGAGGCATGGGGCAATTAACTGGGGGTCAAACGTCTT